GATTTTAAACAGTCTGTAAATGAAGAAATTTTGTTGTTGTTGTTGTTGTTTGTTGTTGTTTTTAGCTTTGACTATCTGATTTTAAACAGTCTAAATGAAGAAATTTTGTTGTTGTTGTTGTTGTTTGTTGTTGTTTTTAGCTTTGAATATCTGATTTTAAACATTCTTCTGCTTTCCTGGTTGAGTTCTGCTAATTTTGGTTCCTTTTTTTTCTAGCTCATACCAGCAGAGGGACTTGGTAAACTGCAAAAGAAGCATTTTATGTTACGGGAAAGAGGAGGAGAGAGGAAAGAGTTTTGTAACAGCAGAGATGTTCCTGCTTTCTACATGCAGCTGCTAACGGAATGGGTGAGCACCAACCAAAGGAGCAAGGGCAAATCTTCCTTCTCCTGAGGTCTTCATGAGCTTGCAGGAAAGGCTGAGAAATGAGCACAGGAGTGGTGGGCTGCTCCGAGTGTGGGCAGGGTGGAGAGCTCAGGATCAAGTCTGGGCTCTAAATCCCACTGGAAAAGGGATCCTTGATGCCAGAGGTGGCTCAACCTTTGGTATCCACCAGTGGGACACTTCATCTGGCAATGCAGGAGAAATGTGATCTTCATTTGGGAGCATTTTTATTATGTTTTAAAGACTTTGAATAGAATTTGCTGTTAGCAAATCATGTTAATTTATAAGGAAAAGGATATTAATTATTTACCTTGGATGGTTTCATTCTAGAAATCTAACTTCTGGCAGGGTGATAGGACGGATCCAGGTCTCAGTGAAATTGGTGGTTTGGCTCGTAGTCACTGGAACAACTTAATGCTTTTTTATTAATGATAAAAGCATATTGATTGGGATCTTGAGGTAGAAGAAGTTGCAGAAATTTGATCAAAGCAGTGTTCTGAGGAGGGGATGGGTGGATCCTAAACCACAACACACTGAATTGATTCTGCTAATACTAGCATTTGATATTTGAAACGTGTTTGAATTCAAAGGTGTTCAGGTGGTTGGAAAAGTACCTTTTTGTTGGACGTGGTGTCTCTACAGCCTTTCAGCATCACTATAATGGCCTACAAAGGTCCCTTGCATGACTTAGCTATTGCTGGAGCTGTTTGGCTTTGGATAAACATGAGGCAGCTGCTCAGTATCTTCTCTGATAAAGCAGATTTCCACTCTTTTTCAGCTCCAGGTCAGTTCTTTCCTCATGCTGGAGCTGGCTGTCGTGGGATTCACCTTGTGTCTCCAGCAGCCTTCATGCACAAAGGCTTGTGGCAACGAGCCTGGAATGGCAGAGAGAGATGGTGGCACTTGCTCAGCACTTTGCGCATTCCCAAATTTCACATTACAAGATCCTGTTGAGCAGGACTTTGAGAGGATCCTGGACAGGATGCAGAGGTGGGACTGTGTGAACCTCGTGGCGTTCAACCAGACCAAGTGCAAGGTCCTGCCCCTGGATCAGAGCAATCCCAGAACAAACAGGGGCTGGATGGAGCAGCCTGAGGAGAAGGACTTGGGGTGTTGGGTGAGGAGAAGCTCCCCATGACCCGGCTTCAGTGAGCGCTTGAGCCCAGAACCCCCCTGTGTGCTGGGCTGCACCCCCAGAGCGTGAGCAGCAGCTCAGGGAGGGAATCCTGCCCCTCTGCTGTGCTCTGGGGAGACCGCCCCTGCAGCCCTGATGCAGCTCTGGGGCAGCAGCACAAGAGGGACGTGGAGCTGTTGGAGCGAGGCCAGAGGAGGCCATGGAGATGCTGCGAGGGCTGGAGCAGCTCTGCTCTGGAGCCAGGCTGAGAGAGCTGGGCTGGGGCAGCCTGGAGAAGAGAAGGCTCCTGAAGGGGAGACCTTAGAGCAGCTCCAGTGCCTAAAGGGGCTGCAGGAAAGCTGGAGAGGGGCTTGGGACAAGGGCCTGTAGGGACAGGCCAAGGGGAATGGCTTGAACCTGCCCGAGGGGAGACTGAGCTGAGCTCTTAGGCAGAAGCTCTTCCCTGTGAGGGTGCTGAGGCACTGGCACAGGGTGCCCAGAGAAGCTGTGGCTGCCCCATCCCTGGCAGTGTTTGTGGCCAGGTTGGACACAGGGGCTTGGATCAAGCTGCTCCAGTGGAAGGTGTCCCTGCCGTGGCAGGGGTTACAGCTGGATAAGGCACTTTGCAGCTGAAACCAGTCTGGGATTCTCTCACATCACCATGATTGCATTATCATCAGTCTCAAACAGACAACAGAGAGAGTTACCACATGTACAGTAATTTTCAGATGTCTATTTCAGATCCTGTCTGGTGTAATACAACATTCATGCTACAGAGGTGAATTAATCTCACTCACAACCCAGCTGCAGTGTCATTCTTGGGAATTTCCTTGTTGAATTTGCACCTTGTTCACACCTGCTTGTGGAATAAAGTGAAAGATTGCATCAGATTTCACTACATCCTTTCATCTCCACTCCTAAAAGCTGTATTTTTGACTATAAAGATGTTGAGAAGATGTTTAATGCACATCATCAGTAATGGCAGTTCTCTGTGCCCCAGTAGTTTAAATGGGGCTTTGGTTGACGGCATGTCTTGAAAGCAAATGAGGGCTATTTCCAGTGGAAGAAAATGTAAAATATTGTATTTAGACTCATTATTTGCCATTGGGAACTATGGAAATTATACTGCTTGGCATTCAGCATGAACACTTTGCACCATTCAGCCCCGTATTAGAGCAAATCGTGTCCCTGGATGAGGGGCTGCAGCTGGGTCTGGAAGCACAAAGGGGAAAAGACTGTGATTACAGATTAGAAATTACTTAATGATTTATTTGCTTTTAAACTATATACCTTGTGGAGGGTAGGGAAGTGCTGTTGTAAATGTGCCCATACAGAGGCAGACCCTGAGCACATGCATTTGCTGCTCTGCATTGAACTGGAGCTCCCGTCTCCCATCCGTAATGCTTCACACGCTCCAGAACACAGGTAATTTACAACACTCTCAGCAAGTCCTGGTGGGAGGAGGCTTCAATTAATCTACCCAGGAACATATGACAAATCTAGCAGCATTTTACATTGCTTTTCATCACTAAGATCCTCTTAAGGATGCAGGAGTGATTACAAATGACTTAATGGTGTGAGCAGGAAACTTTGGTATGGCCACGTAACAGTTCTCCTACATTTCCATCACTCTTATCAGAGTAGCTGCCACAGTGCACCAAAACACCCTGATTATTTAGCAAAAACATACTGTATTTTGCAGTAGCTATGGTATTTTGTGCACCTTTTCCCTTCTGTTTGGCATCCTAAAAACGGCCCATTACCGCACAGGTGGGAGGAGGTAGCCTTCTAGTTTAGAAGAGGAATTAATCCTTCCCTTTTCAGCCGAATTCCTTTGGAGCATTTACTTCTGCTGGACAAGGTGACGGGGAATGGGGAAAAGCTTGTGTTTGTTGGGGATGGATTTGTGGGGGTTTGCACCCCAGGAGGTTGCATTTTGCAGGGCTGTGGTTTTGCTGGGGCAGTAATTGCAGGGCTCTGGGTTTGCTGGGGCAGTAATTGCAGGGCTCTCAACTTGCAGGGGTTGCATTTGAGGGCTGTGCACTGCTGGATGTTGCGTCTGGGGGGCTGTGCATTTACAGGGCTCAGGGTTTGTTTGGGTTTTCTTTCCCAGCAACACCTTGATGGGATCCAGAGGGATCTGGATAGGAGGCAAAGGTGGGACCTCGTGAATGTCATGGAGTTCAGCCAGGCCAAGGGAAAGGTCCTGCCCCTGGGTCAGGGCAATCCCAGCACAAACACAGGCTGGGGAACACCGGATGGAGCAGCCTGAGGAGAAGGACTTGGGGTGCTGGGTGAGGAGAAGCTCCCCATGACCCAGCTTCAGTGAGCGCTTGAGCCCAGAACCCCCCTGTGTGCTGGGCTGCACCCCCAGAGCGTGAGCAGCAGCTCAGGGAGGGGATCCTGCCCCTCTGCTGTGCTCTGGGGAGACCCCCCCTGCAGCCCTGATCCAGCTCTGGGGCACAAGAGGGACGTGGAGCTGTTGGAGCGAGGCCAGAGGAGGCCATGGAGATGCTGCGAGGGCTGAAGCAGCTCTGCTCTGGAGCCAGGCTGAGAGAGCTGGGCTGGGGCAGCCTGGAGAAGAGAAGGCTCCTGAAGGGGAGACCTTAGAGCAGCTCCAGTGCCTAAAGGGGCTGCAGGAAAGCTGGAGAGGGGCTTGGGACAAGGCCCTGTAGGGACAGGCCAAGGGGAATGGCTTGAACCTGCCCGAGGGGAGACTGAGCTGAGCTCTTAGGCAGAAGCTCTTCCCTGTGAGGGTGCTGAGGCGCTGGCACAGGGTGCCCAGAGAAGCTGTGGCTGCCCCATCCCTGGCAGTGCTCAAGGCCAGGTTGGACACAGGGGCTTGGAGCAAGCTGCTCCAGTGGAAGGTGTCCCTGACCGTGGCAGGGCTTGGAGCAGGAGAAGCTTTAAGCTCGTCCCAACCCAAACCACTCAGTGACCCCATGGGGTTGCAGCGGTGGGGCTGTGCATTCAGGGTGCTGTATTGGTGACCCTGTGCGCTCGGGGCTCCACTTCCCCTGTTTCACACCTGTGGGGGCTTCACCTACAGGGACCGAGGGTTTGGAGTCCTGCCGGCAGCCCCAGCAGCGGTACCCGCGCCGCCGGCGGACACCAACCACATAAACAACCTCCTAACGCGCCCGCCCGCCCCTGTCTCCTGCTGCCAGCAGCGCGGCAACCGCGAGTCGCCGTGCGCGCAAGCGCCGTATGTGCTGGTGGCGAAGCGGCGAAGGGGGGGGAATGTTACCCGGATGTGGCGCATGCGCGGTGTTGCCTGGACGTGTCGGCGGCCCCGCGGAGCGCGATCGCTGGAGCCGCGGCAACAACACCACCACCAACGCGACCGGTACCGCGGCGGCGGCTCCGTGCCTGCGCGGCCGGGTCCCGCTGCCAGCGCCGCCCCGCCGGCCCGGCCACAGCCCGGGGAGGGGAGGGCGGGGGGGCGGAGGCCTGGCCCGCCGCGGAGCACCGGGGCCGGCTGAGGCGAGGGAAGGCTCCCCCCCTCCCGCCATCACCACAGCGGTCGCCGCCCCTCACCGCAGCCCCAGGCCGCGCCCGGACTGCGGCCGCTCCGACCCCGCCTGCGGCCCAGGTAACATCCGCTCTCGGCTCCCCGCCCGCCGAGACCGCCCGCAGCTTGCACCCCCCCATCCCGCAGCGCTGTCTGCGGACCGCCCCCTGCCCCGCGCCTCCCGGGGGCTTGTCCTCGGGCCCCGCTGCCCCGTTCCCCGCCCCGGCTCCTGTCCCGCTTGCCGTGAGCGAGCAGCAAACGTCGTTCCCGCACGCTCACATCCCCCCCCCCCCCCCAGCCCCAAACTTTTAAGTGTTATTGTTGTTAACCCCCGGTCCTCTCTTGGATGGGCTCTCCCGCCGCCCGCCCGCAGTTAAACTTCGCTGTGGTGCCGTTCGTGCAGACCGCGCTCGTGTCGTGCTCCCTCTCATGCCCTGAGTGGTTTTGTGTGAGCAGGTTGGCGTTTAGTTCTTTGAAATCTGCCATCTTCTTTGCAATACCAGCTCTCTTTAAGGTGATTTTTATGCAGCGTGGGGCTGCGCTACACGTGGGGTGTTCATAAAAGTCATTAAAGTGATTCCTCCTTGACCCTCTCTCTTTCCCATCCCCGTTTCTCAGGGAGATTTGTGGCATTGTGTTATTGAGTCCTCACCACGGAAGGGTGGTTAATTTACGGGGTAATCTAGCTGTGGGTTAGGTGTGTTATTACTTGGAGCCCAAATTGTACCACTTGCAAACCAATTCTTCTCAAGCACGTACAGTGGAGTAGGATCGTGGTGTCTTTTACCACTGTTCCTAACCACTTCTTGGTTAAGAACACCATGCTGCTGTCAACAGGCAGGAGTGATTCCAGGCTCTGTGATAGCTGTCATCTTCTGAATCGCAAGACTCTTGTTACTTTGTTCAGTAATGTAGGTGCAAGGTGCTGCCCTATAAAACATGTTTTCGTACTCTTAGCTTCATGATAAGTAGGCAACTTGTCCTTCTGGCCTTCTTATCTTGGCCGGATTGCTACTGGAAGCAGTTTCTTCTCACTTTGCATTCATGAACCTTGTTTGATTTGCTTGTTGCATAAGAATGCATGCTTAACGTTGATATAGAAACTTTATTTCAAAGAGCTGAAGCCTGAAGAGAAGCAGTAAGTGTCTCGAGCTGATTAGAATTCCTTTTTTTAAGTGGCTCTTTACATAATGCATTCAGGCTTAGCTTGCACAATGGGGATCGAGAGGTATCAACAGATTTAGTGGAGAACAAAGGTGCTGAGAGCAGTGGATCCTCGTGAGGAGCAGCCATTGCTGTGCTGTTGTTGAAGGCCTGCTGGAATTTTAGGGCTCTATTTTCTTATATTGTTAATCTGTGAAAAACTCTAGTTTTGGTTGGGGCTGGAATTTTCCATGCTTGCTTTGCCCAGAGGTGATTTTTTTCTTTAAGCTCAAGCAAATGCAGAGAGCATTATCCCTGTACGGATTACAATAAAGAGCAGATGTTATCTACTACACCTGTTCTGGGGTATCGAAACATGACGTACGAGTGAAAAATCACACTGCTTCTGCCTGAACAATGTTTGACTCTTCCTTCTTACTGCTTGGCATAACCACAATTGTTTCCTCTGTTTGTGAGGTTTTGACAAATTACTATTTGTCCTTGTTGGAGGAAGCCTTCTGCAAGAAGATGAGTCTTGCAGGATACCCTGAGGAAGAGCTCAGTTCAGGTTTGCTCTGTCATTCTACGGCAAGGAGTTCCACCACTGCCTGCTTTCTGAATGCAGTCTCTTGGAAGCGAGGTAGTGTGAGGTGCTGTGCATATAGATCCAGTTGTAGAGGAGTTTGCTGCTTTTTCCACCCCCGTGGTGCAGTGTGCAGTGGTCTTCCTTCTCTGACCATGCAGAAGGCTATATGGAGGAGGTTTTTTTCAGCTGTATGCTTTCTCGAAAGTGTGGAGAGAGGGAAGGGGAACAAACATAAAAAATTAGCTTTCTGGGGGTATAAAAAGTGTGCTTATGTAGTCCCATCAGCATCATAGTGCTGTTTTTCATTGTGTCCTGGTCCCCCTCCCGCATTCAAGGACAAGATAAGGCTTTATCCTGACTCAAGAGCTGGGCTGGTTCAGCCTGGAGAAGAGAAGGCTCCTGAAGGGGAGACCTTAGAGCAGCTCCAGTGCCTAAAGGGGCTGCAGGAAACCTGAAGAGGGGCTTGGGACAAGGCCCTGTAGGGACAGGCCAAGGGGAATGGCTTGAACCTGCCCGAGGGGAAACTGAGCTGAGCTCTTAGGCAGAAGCTCTTCCCTGTGAGGGTGCTGAGGTGCTGGCACAGGGTGCCCAGAGAAGCTGTGGCTGCCCCATCCCTGGCAGTGTTCAAGGCCAGGTTGGACACAGGGGCTTGGAGCAAGCTGCTCTAGTGGAAGGGGTCCCAGCCCATAGTAGGGGCTTGGAACGGAACGAGTGTTAAGGTCTGGTCTAGTGGAATGTGTCCCTGACTGTGGCAGGGGGCTAGAACTAGATGAGCCTTAAGGTCTGGTCTTGTGGAATGTGCCCCTGACCATGGCAATGGGCTAGAACTAGAAGAGCTTATGGTCTGGTCTAGTGGAATGTGTCCCTGACCATGGCAGGGGGCTAGAACTAGATGAGCCTTAAGGTCTGGTCTTGTGGAATGTGTCCCTGACCATGGCAATGGGCTAGAACTAGAAGAGATTTAAGGTCTGGTCTAGTGGAATGTGTCCCTGACCATGGCAATGGGCTAGAACTAGAAGAGCTTTAAGGTCTGGTCTAGTGGAATGTGCCCCTGACCATGGCAGAGGGCTAGAAGTAAATGAGCTTTAAGGTCTGGTCTGATGGAAGATGCCCCTGAGCATGGCAGGGAGTTGGAACTAGATTATAAGCTTTAAGGTCACTTCTAACCCCAACCATCCTCTGATTATAGGTATTTACTGTAGTGTTTGTTCCTTGAATGAGATTAAAAACCCGTGTGCAGCAGAAATGTTTGTTCTGTTTACAGGATCAGTCTGTTGTATTTGTAAAGTGCTTTTAAAAGCCATTGGAGAGCAGAGGTGAAAGCTGAGAGGAGTTAAGATGTGCTGAGAGCTGTAGCTGGACAGCTACATCAGACCAGTTTCTTCCATAAAGAAATGGCTGCTCATACTTTTTAACTGTGGATTTGTGTTAAGATGAAGGAGTTGCCTCTCAAGAGTTATCTCTAAACTCTTCTTCAGTTCCTTTTATGCTGATGTGTGTCTTAAATTTTCGTAGCTACTGACAGTGAGATGAACAGAATTGATACAGATGATTCAGATATGAGCACAAAAATAGTATTCTGGGGAATGTCAGCTCTTACTGTACAGAACAGTGTGAGTGCAGTACCTCCTTAGTACACTTTCTCTTGCTCTTTAATGCTAATTGGTCTTATGTCTACAAACATTTTGTTCCTGTTCACCCTTTGGGCAAGTAGATAATTGTCTAATGTGCTGGAAAGAATCTGCAGTTTAATCACTTATTCATATCTTCATCAAATCATAAGCTGCCTTTTGTTTTATTGGTTTATGGATTTTTTTCTTTGTCATGTTTATCATAAAACTTCTACCACTGCATTATTAAACAGCAAAACTCTAGTAACGTTTTGGTGGTTAAAAGCTATCAAATGTACGTGCTGCTTTTTCTGACATCTTTGTGTTTGTCTAATTTTGGAAGCAGCAGCTTATGCAAGAGCCTTTCTTGTCCTTTATTTATGTGAAATGTTCTAGCAAGATGTCAGTTTGTACGCTATTCTAATTAGCCAGTTCGTTAGCGTTGTGTTACTGCCTGGTATGAAAAGGCTGGAAATCTGGGACTGGGATGGCTGTAACTGGTAAATCATGTTCCGAGTGTGGCAGTGGCAGCTTCAAGCAAACTGTTCTTACTTTTTTAGATGTGTTTTTCTAAAAATTACATTTATAATCACAACTTGGAAATACCTTTTTGGTCATTAGGGTTGTTTTTTTTTTTGCATTAATTCATTTCCCTTCTTGCCCCACTATATGACTCCCTAGAATTGAATGCTGTATCTTTTATATTGAAATTGATGTTACAATATATAACGTATATTAGATAACATTAATTTTTAACAAAAATTACATCTTTCCCCTTGACATCATATGGCACCGTGGGCCTTGGTCTGGCTGTGGTCTTTCTTCGTTACTTCAGTAGATGTGTTTTTATTAGCTTTTTCACTTGAAAACACAGATGATGTGAGCTTATTTTCTTGGTTTTGAAGACCATAGTGGTAATATTCACTCAAGTCATGGATAAATCACAAACGACATTCTCCCTGTAAATTTGCTGACTTGCTTAGACCCTTCTACAATATGTTACGACAGATAATGGCCAAGTTACCTTAAAATTCATAGCAGATAGAAATGCCTGTAGAGTAGCTGGTGAATGCCATTAGACATACTTACCTGCCTGTATTGTCTTTAGCATCCCTGTACATGTTCGTGACACCAGCCCTTCCACAGAAAGAGTACTAAAAATGCTCAGGCTTACATATTCACATGCACTGTAGAGCATAACTGCTGCTAAAGATCTGTGTTAGTGTTATTTAGAATAAAATAGTTCAGTTGGAAGGGACTTGCAATGATCATGTATTGACAGTCATTTGAAATGCTCTCATGTGACACAGGGTGGTTGTCTGATCAGTTTGTACAAAAAGGTGGCAAATTTCAACCTCACTTTTGAAAGGATTCGTGAACCCCAAATGTGTATCTAATGCTCAGCATGTGTAAAATCTCTTATTTGACTTTCATTTGGCAGACTGGTTGCATTTCCATCGCAGTGGAGAGGGGCTTTGGACAAGGGCCTGCAGGAACAGGCCAAGGGGAATGGCTTGAACCTGCCCGAGGGGAGATTGAGCTGAGCTCTTAGGCAGAAGCTCTTCCCTGTGAGGGTGCTGAGGCGCTGGCACAGGGTACCCAGAGAAGCTGTGGCTGCCCCATCCCTGGCAGTGTTCAAGGCCAGGTTGGACACAGGGGCTTGGAGCAAGCTGCTCCAGTGGAAGGGGTCCCTGCCCGTGGCAGAGGTTGGAGATGGGTGAGCTTTGGGGTCCTTTCCAACA